TCCGAAAGCTCCCGGGTCCTGATTTCCGGAGCTAACTATGAAGTCGGCAGGGAGGGCTATGGTGGTTCCGTAAACCATCTCAGCTGCGGTGCACTGAAGGTCCTGTTTGAAGGAGGTCCTTATGTTCAGGAGTGCCAAAGGCAACTGGTCCACCCATTGGCGCGTGGAGGATGAAGCTGTGAGAGTCTCCTTCAGGTGGCGGTGTAGGCGCTCTACCATGCCGTTGGCACTGGGGTGGTATGCCGTGGTCCGGATGCGCTTCGAGCCGAGAAGAATCATCAGTTGCCTCCAGAGCTCGGACTCGAACTGAGACCCGCGATCGGTCGTGACCGTCGCAGGAGCTCCGTAGCGCGATATCCAGGTGCTGATGAAGGTCTTGGCAATGGTCGCGGCGGTGATGTCCTGGATAGGGGTGGCCTCGGGCCACCTGGTGAATCGGTCGATCATCGTCAGGACGTAGGTGTAACCCTGATCGGCTGGGAGAGGGCCGACCACGTCCAGGTGTACATGTTCGAAGCGGCCGTCTGGTACCAGGAACACCTGTGGGGGAGCCTTAGTGTGTCGGTGAATCTTACTGCGCTGGCACTCGATGCAGGTGCGGCTCCACTCCCGGACATCTCTATTGATACCCGGCCACACCACTTTGCTGCGGAGGAGATCCTGGGTTGCGCGAATTCCTCGATGTGCATGGTAAGCCTCGAAGAACTGCCGACGGAGTGAAGGGGGGATGTAAGGACGTGGGTGGCCCATCGAGGTGTCGCAGACGATGGTGTCCTGCGAGTCCTGAAGTTGCACCTGCTCCAGCTGAAGAGAGGTATCTCCATTGACAAGACCGGGAAGAGAAGGGTCTTGTTGCTGTTCCCTGCGAACTAGGTGGTAGTCGATGGGGTTGTTGCTGGCACTTACCATTCCTATGGATACCCTGGACAGGGCATCTGCGGCTTTGTTGTTGATGCCTTGGATGTGCCGTATGTCCGTGGTGAACTGGGCCACGAAATCCAGGTGCCTCTCTTCGCGTGGGGACTGGCGGCGGCTCCTGTTGTGCAGGGCGAAGGTGAGGGGCTTGTGATCCGTCAGGATGTGGAATTCTTTCCCCTCGACATATGTCCTGAAGTGCTTGATGGCGCTGTAGACCGCAAGGAGTTCTTTGCCGAAGGCGCTGTAACGGCTTTGCTGTGGGCTGAGAGTCTGCGAAGAGAAAGCCAGGGGCTCCCAACCATTACCTGGATCTTGTTGCAGGACGGCTCCCATGGCGGTGTCTGAGGCGTCGACGGCTATGTTGAGCCTCGCCCCTTGCTGTGGGTGGTTGAGGAGCGTCGCCGAGGCTAAGGCATCCTTGCTGGTCTCGAAAGCCTCGGTCGCCTCGGGAGTCCACGTGATGTCTCTGCTGCGGCCAGACCGGGTGAGAAGGCCCTGTAAGGGGGCCAGAAGAGAAGCACACCTGGGAATGAACCTCCTGAAGAAGTTTATCATACCCAGGTACTTCCGAAGCTGTCTCTTTGTTGTCGGTCTAGGAAACTGCCTGATGCTGCTGACCTTCTCCTGAGCCGGGGTGATGCCGTCAGCGGTAATTGTGTGACCTAGGAAAGTCAGAGAGGGAACTCCGAAGAGACTCTTACCAGGGTTGATGACGATTCCGGCTTTCTGCAGGCGGTCGAACAGGGCGGAGAGGTGTTGCTTGTGCTCCTCACTACTGCTGCTGGCGATGAGTATGTCGTCGATGTAGACGAAGACGCCTTGTAGTCCGCGGGTGACATCGTCCATGAAGCGCTGGAAGGTCTGGGCTGCGTTGCGGAGGCCGAACGGCATACGTAGGAATTCGTACAGGCCGAAGGGGGTGATTACAGCCGTCTTTGGAATGTCTTCCTCGGCGATGGGGATCTGATGGTATGCTCTGACGAGGTCAATCTTCGAGAAGATCGTGCGGCCAGAGAGTTCACGTGTGAAGGAGTGGAGGTGCGGGAGGGGGTAGCGATCCGGTGCGGTGGCTGTGTTGAGATGGCGGTAATCACCGCAGGGGCGCCAATCGCCGTCCTTTTTCCGTACTAGATGCAGGGGGGATGCCCACTGGCTGCTGGAAGGGCGTATGATGCCGAGATCCCTCATGTGTTCGAACTCTGCCTTGGCGATGCGGAAGCGATCTGGTGCGAGGGGCCTGCAGCGGGAGTGGACCGGTGGGCCAGTCGTGACGATGTGGTGCGTGACAGTGTGTGGCGGTGATGTTGCCACGTTGATGGGTTTTGTCAGCGCTGGAAAGTCACGAAGTAGGGCTCTGTAGGCACATTGGTTGGGTAGCACCGTGTAGATGCGGGGAACACGTACTAAGGCCGACGCGGCGGGGGTGCAGGCTCCTGACTGGTGTACAAGAGACTCTCGTTTAAGGTCCACCGAGAATCCGTAATGCGCGAGAAAGTCTGCTCCGAGGATTGGCTGCTGTACATCCGCGACCAGGAAGACCCACGTCAGCTTCGAACGAGGGGCGCCGCTGAAAAGGAGTGTCATGGAGCGCTCACCGTATACGTTGATGGGAGAACAATTGGCGGCCTCTAATGTGCGAGAGGCGGGCGAGGTCCTGTCCTTGTGTGATGCGGGGATAAGGCTGACCTCTGCTCCTGTGTCTACCAGAAACCGTAGGCGGGAGTCGATGTCACGGACGTAGAGCAGGCGCCGTCTGGGGCCGCGAGAGACCGGCGCTATTAGTTCCCGCGGTGCCCGTTTCCCGGCCAGGAGCAAGGGGGCTGACACCGCTGCGCTTGGGCACCGAATCTGGAGTGATAGAAACAATAGCTACCTGGGGTCGGGGAGCGGCGGCGGCTGTAGTTTCGACGGTGCTGATACGTGTAGTCTCGTCCGCGGTTGACACGGGGCGAAGCGGGGCTGCGATGGCGGGGCCTGGGATGTGGTGAAGGGTCGCGGGTTGCGAGCCGACGAACGGCGGTTGTGAGCTCGGCGACCTGAGCGGCGAGGGACTCCAGGGTTAATGACGGTGTCGTGGAAACAGCTGAAACTTGTGGGCTATTTTGTATCGCGAGGATCTCGTCTGCTTTCAAGGCTAGTTGCTCGATGGGGAGTTCTGAGGCTAGCAGGGCGGTCTGTACCGCCGCCGGCAGACGCTGTAGGAACATCGAGCGCAGAATATCGGGAGGCAGGTGTGTGTCGGCCCGGGCGAGAGTGCGTTGGATGTGACGGAGTATTTCCGAGGGCGTACGGCCGTCCGGTGACGCTGCTGTGAAGAGGGCGCGTAACGCGTGTCGTGGGGAAGGCGCCGCACGTCGCAGGATTGCTTCTTTGAGGCGTTCGTAGGTATTGTATTCGGAGTTGTTGATGAGGTCGCTGACGGAGAGGAGGAGTTCAGGTGAGAGATTCGTCACCAGTATCCGATATTTGGTGACTGGAGAGGTGACGTGGCGAAGGAGGAACTCCTGTTCCACCTGCAGGAACCATTCCGGAAGGCAGGCAATGGTGCAGGTAGGTAGCGGCTTCAAAGATGTTGACAGGCTCATGGCTAAACTGGACTCTTAACTCCGGAGGTCACCAGTGTGGTTTAGGTAAACACACGGTAGTCAATTCAACTCTTTATTGCTGGAGTTACAGAGGTGTGTCACGGTCAGAGTCAAGCCGATGAGTGTGTCTGTCTGATAAAGGATTCTGATAAAATAGATAAAGTGGAGGAGTCAAGGAGGGGGGGGGGGGAGAAGGTAAAGAGCAGAAATTGGAAGGAGTTGGAGGTTATGAAAGTAGGGGGGCGAAACCCCTTGCATAGTTCGTTCTACTTCTTTCGTTCATGTCCGGAATGTCGGGGGGGGCGGGGGAGTATTAGTTGATATTTATGTTGTTGAAGCAAACACCTCTTTTTCTTTTGTGATAAACATATATGTAATAACATATATATTTATTAATTTATATTTTGTATTTTGTTTATTTTACGTTTTATGATTTTTATTAATTTATATATTTATGGTAACGGAAATTAAGGAACAATTTTTTTTTTTTTTTTTTTTTTTTTTTTTTTTTTTTTTTTTTTTTTTTTTTTTTTTTTTTTTTTTTTTACACGCTAATACTAAAGTTAAGCTTAAAAAGGGTAAAAAACTAGGTTACTACTAAACTAAATACAACTAGAAAAATTATTTTTTTTTTTTTTTTTTTTTTTTTTTTTTTATTATTTTAAGTTTTGTATTTGATTTTTTAGTTTATTTCTTTTTTCTTTTGTTTTTTAATGCAAATAACAAAGATTAGGTGCAAAAAAGAAGAAAGAGGCTGGGGAGTTCCAGTGGCTGAGCGAAAGATTTAGACTGCATAGAAACGTAAGGTAATGGATGATGAAGGGGAAATATAACTAGACAGAGACAGGTGGAGAAAGGGTGACATGAGATGAGAAGTGAGATGTGATGAAACATTGTCATGGGTATAAGGATATCTTGCATAAGAACCGTATCAAGTGTATAAAAAGGTCATTAGTAGGGGAGTTGAATGCTGTGACAACAAGGTCTGATTCCAAATGGGGGTGGACGAAAGGAGAGCATAAAAATAAATTGCATAAAATATAGTTATACAGGGTGATAGGCGTAGGTGAACAAGCAAGCAAGCAAGCAAGCAAGCAAGCAAGCAAAAAAAAAAAAAAAAAAAAAAAAAAAAAAAAAAGCAAGCAAGCAAGCAAGCAAGCAAGCAAGCAAGCAGTTAGCCGAGAGGCTTGTAGGAACAAGGTAAACAAATAAACAATAAAACAGAACAGGAACAAACGAACAAAAAGGGAATAAAATTAACATAATTCAACTGGTCCGAGACAAAGTAAACAAGAGAACGGGGTGAGCGAGGAGTATGACAAGGCTGAGTCAACAGGAGTGCGATGGGGGACGTAGGGTACTTTGAGGGCGTTGGGTAACGTGATTAGGGGAATAAATAAGGTAGAAGGCTATTTATATATATATATAATTTTTTTTTTTTTTTTTTTTTTTTTTTTTAGGAGTTATTACTATTCTTTTTTCTCCCTTTTTCCGTAGAACATCTCCATCTTGCTCGTCCTCTAACTCGTGTGCCTGCCTTATGCAAATGCACATGTGCATTTGCATAATCACAGGCAATCGAATCAGAGTCCGTAGCAAGTTTGTAAGATGTTCCGTCCTTGAAATCTCTCCGTTTATAGTTCGTCAGTGCTGATCCCACGACCACTAGGCGGGCCGAGGCGGGCAAAGTGACAAGCCGTGGTAGTAGTAGTAAGTTAAAAGAGAAAGACCCGTTGCCGGGGGGAAGGAAGACGGGAGAGGGGAAGGATATAGGAGGGGATCGAAAGGATGATTTTAGTGAGAGAGAAAGAGTCGGGGCTTAACCCAACATGCGGGGTAAAAGTTGGGGGCATAGCTGACACGGAGGAGGAAAAGAGGATAAAGGCTGGGTCGGGAGGCCCCGCGCCATCTGTGTGTGCGTGGCTCGGGCATTATGGTGCTCGCTTGGCGTGAACGAATTCACGCGTCAGCGAGACCCCATGCCCGGGCTGCGGCGCGCACTCGGCTAACGGGGGAGGTTGGGAGCAGTAAGGGGCGGCCTGTCAGGCGCCATCGAGGCGCAGCCGTGCACGGACTTCTCGCCCATGGCAACGGTCGCGCCCTCGGCTAACCGGGAGACTGCGAGGATGAAAAACGAGTGAGATCGCTAATCAGAGGCTGTCTCCCACGCCCGCGTCGAACAGAGATTTCTCTCTGTCGGCGGCAGGACTTCCAGGGAGACGTGCTCTGGCGATCTCACCACGCTTGGGTTAGCAACACTGGCCATGGCATCTCCTCCCCCGCTCGCGCGTTGCCACTCCTTACGGCAAAGGAGCCACGGTCGTTGCAGGGTGCAGGCGGCAGATGTCATGTGTCGGGAATCCGGAACCAGTGAGATGAGGGTAAGGATTAGGATGAGGGTCGATTGCGCCAAGGGAGGATAATGATATGAGGCGTGGGCGAAGCTGTGTGACTCACGGAAGGAGGAAGTGGGGAGTGGAAGGGAGTTAAAAGCGGGATGGGCTCTCTTATAGGTTATATTTATTTTGGTGTAATTAAAAAGAGGTAAGGTAAAACAACCACTTAAAAATAAAACATTAAAATACAAAGAACATAATAATTAAAACAAGAAACTAAAACAAAACGAGGAAAAAGTTAAAAAACAACGCGAACATAAACGTAAGAAAATTAAAAGCTTAAAAAAGTTAGAGTGTTAATTTCGGCGCTCGGCATCCGCGCCCGCGAGGCCCGGCAATAATCGCGCCGAGGCGTGATTGGCCGAGCCGTCGCGGGGGCGGGCGTCGAGTTTATAGTAAAAATCGCCGAAGCTAACGCAACTTATTGCGCTTTTAAAACGGTTAAAAAGTTAAAAATATTAAAGTGAACAAAAACAAGAGAGTAAGGGAGGGTGAAAGGTTCGAAGGAAGTAAGAGAGGTTCACAAGGGTTAAGATGATGCTGCCAAGCTCAAAAAACTGGCTCCTGTTCCTCGTCCCAGTCCAGCGCAAGGAAATCGCGACCAAGGCCGCTCCTCCCTCCCCGGAGAAAGACATTGTTTTGGTCTATCCAGGCGGGCAGCCAAAGACGAAGTTTGTCGAGTTGTTTACAAATCCTCGCGCGCCACGCGAGGTTCAGAGGGAGCACAGAAGCTCTCTCGTGGAGTTGTGATGATGTAACAAACTCGTCCCAGCCTATATTATAGATCCATCGGAGAGCTTTATTCTGGATGACCTGTAGCTTTCTTCTGTTTGTGTATGCTGCTAGTGTAAGTGTAAGTGGTGCGTAGGTGAGAAGGGGGTGTATGATGGCTTTGAACAGGTGCAGCTTTGTGCGCGGGGCAGCACATCGGAATCGATAAAGCGACTGTAAGCTCTTACTAGCCAATGCGGCTTTTTTCCAAGTATGATAGTGAAATCTTAACATGAAATCGATTGTTACACCGAGCACGGTGCAAGAGCGTGTTATTTGAAGAGGTGCTTGTAGTCTGTCGAAAGAGTTTAGATATATTGGATCGTAAGGAGGATTGTGTTTAGGGTCGATAAAGAGGACTTTTGTTTTTGTCGCATTAGTTTTGATAAGCCATTTGTGCTCCCACCTCGAGACGGTGTCAAGCTCGTCATTGATTCGTCGGACAACACCAGCGAGCGAACCATGTCTGGCTAAGTGAGTACAGTCGTCGGCGTAAAGAAGCGTCAATGAATCGGGAAATGTGGGGTCGGGGAGGTCGTTCGTGTATAATATGTATAGTGTTGGGCTGATTATGCTGCCTTGAGGTACACCTGCGTGCATGTGGATGGTTTCAGAAATTTTACCTTTAAATCTAAGTTTAAGTTTGCGGTCATCCAAGAAGCTGCATAACAGCTTCTTGGTGACCGAGGGAAAGTTAAATTTTGTGCACAGTTTGTACTTCAAGCCAGCATGCCAGACCGTGTCGAAGGCTCGCTCCACATCTTTGGTTACGAGAACCGTCTTTAGTTTTCTGTCTTTGTTGTTAACACAGTAGTTAGTCAGTAATGTCAGTGCGTCGTTAGTCGATCGATGGGAGCGAAAGCCGAATTGTTTGGAAGAGAGGAGGTCATGATCGTCGAGATACCGCCTTAGTCGGGAATTAATTACTCTTTCAAAAATTTTGCCTAATGTCTCTAGTAAACTAATTGGGCGGTAATTCTTAGGGTCAGAGAGGTCTTTGTTTGGCTTAGGGATGAGGGCCACTAAAGCAGTTTTGAAGGGTGAGGGATAGTAGCCAGAGGCCAGGGAAGTATTATATAGATAAGTCATAGCTCGTAAAACATTGTCAGGAAGGTGAGTGAGTACGTCACGTCCGATCTGAGAGGAGCCCGGAGCCTTTCGAGGAGACCTCATTATTATTTGTTTTACCTCCTCCAGCGAGATGGGTGCACGGAGTTCGCATGTGTCGTCCAGATTATCCAGGTGGATAATCTGCTCTGGTTCTGTTTCTATCCTGTGGTCTTGGCTCCAGGTGTTGATGGTTTGAAAATGTTCATTAAAAAGAGGGTGGGGTTCATGAGGATAGAAAACAGTTTGCCAGTGATCATGAAAAATTTTGATAACCTCCACGGGATCAGAAATTTGAGTGTTGTCCTTGAGGAGGTGAGTGAAGGGGGGGAAATTACTACCTTTAAGTTGTTTGATGGATTGCCAAAATTCCCGTGGAGTGCGAACTCTCATAGATTCTGTTTTTTTAATTAAGTTTTGCCAGTGAATTTTGTGGTCATTATCAAAACTATTTATGACATGGTTTCTGAGAATAGATAAGTCCCACCGGACTCGGTGCAAATGATCTAAATTTTGTAGAAAACGGTTCCTGTAGCAGGTCAGGAGACGCTTGGTTCTCTCGCTTGGATGAAATGATATGCGGGTTTTAAAGCGCTCTCGCGGTATGGCGCGGCGCATCGCAGCTGAAATCCACGCGAAGAGATGATGCCAATGCCTATCTATTTCGAGAATATTTTCTCGTTCAAGGTTAAAATTGAAATTTTGACTGGCAAGATAAGATTTAAAATCATCCCAGTCTGCTTTTTTATACCTGAAGGATGTTGTTTCTTTGTTTTGTATAGGTGTGGTAGAAAGTTTTATGATGACGGGTATGTGGTCAGAACCGAAGTTCGGGCCGGGTTGTAGGTGTGTGTGGTAGGGGAGTGCCGCTCTGTTCCCGAAAACGAGATCAGGGCGGCCCTTCCCTCTTGACGTGAATGAAGTGTGGAAGTCGGGTCCGATGTAATGCAGTCTTTTTGTTTCGAAAATAGACAAGAGCTGTCTTCCGTGTGCGTTGTTGGTTGTGTGGTTAAATGATATGTGCCGTGCATTAACATCCCCGGCGAAGAAGACTGGGAGATTATTATAATTAAAAAGTTTGTTAAAATCATGAATTGGCAAATTTGTGAAAGGTCTGATATAGGCAGTGGCAATCATTATAGGGCCTTGCTGAGTGTATAGCTTAATAGCCATGAAATCAGGATGAATGAATGGGGGTGAAATGAATTCGAAATGGAAGGTGGATTTTACGAGGATGCACGACCCTACACACCAGCCGTCTCGTGATTGTCTTGACGTGTAGCCGAAGTGTTTGATAGTATAGGAGTTAGTGATAGAAGTAGAATTTAAAAGAACAACGTCAGGACTTTCCCGATCTAGGAAGTCGTAAAAAATGCGTCTTACGTTATAAAATGATCTTACATTCGCTTGTACGACTGTCAGCATGCCACTTATGGTAGGTCAAGATGATTGTGACCTACTTTTCGTGGCGTTTGCTGCTCACGGAAGCGCGGTCGAGGACGAGCCCCGGACTGGGGCTCCTCGGGGTCCGGGAGGGACTCCTGAGAGAGGGAGACATGGCATTCTCGGGAATCGGCGGACCAATTCCCGACGCTGCCATGCCTCCCGAGGTCTCCCCTGACGGGAAGGATGGGGAGCGAGTCCCCAGGGGGAGCGGACAGCGCGACAGCTCCCTCAGCGACCTCGGGACCGAGGTCGATTTGGAGGCTGTCGTCGCTGCTGGTGTCCCCTATTATGGTGTCGTCATGGCGACGACGAGGAGCGGAAGGCTCCGGGGTTTCCGTGAGCAGAGGGTCTTTCTTGTCTTTTTTCTGATGCATGTTTTGTGGAGAGTGAAGTTTGCGTTTATGTTCATTTGTGTTATTTGTGGTTTTTCCTTGTACGGTTTCTCGTGGTTTGCGTTGTGGTTGTGGCTGTGGGAGTACGTGTGCGTGAGAGGTAGAGGGCTGTGTTGATGTGGTGGGCGCCACTCTAGCCTCGGTATTTGTGTTTGTTTGCGTGTGATATTCGGGTATGTACAGGTTTTCGTCTGTAAAGGTTCCCTCAGGAATCAGAATGCTGGGGTAGCCGTTTTTCTGTAATAGTGTTGGGAGTATGTCTGTGAATCTTTTGGCGTTGTATTTGGCAGCTATTAAAGCTACGTGTAGTATAATCTGTATTTTCGGGTCGTTGGCAGGTGGCTGAGTGTTGTTTTGGGGGAACTGAGGTGGGAGAGGCATTGTGTTTCTTGAGGGAATCGTGTTGGAGCGG